GCAAAACACGGATTGTAAATCGGTTTGGCGAAACTAATTCCCCTTCCCTCATCTCTAACTAAATAACTATGATGTGAAAAAAAAACAGTATATCTTTCTTAGCACAAACCTTGTCTTCCGGAGTGATATCCATATGCACCCAGGCGAAAGCAAGAGGTCTGTTGAGGCGCACACTATATGTGCCCGATGTTATCTGTCCAACTCTCTGGAATAAATTATTTTCCATGGATTTATTCTGCGCAACAAAGAACAGTTACTTGTCAGGAAAACCTTACATCTTCGCTCCCTTCTTTACGAATCACTTCCATGCGTTTTGGCACTGTTCTCCATCCTTGCAACTCAGTGAGCGGCTCACAGATCACTAATACCTAAAGAAATTAAACATTTAAGTGTATGTTAGCACCAAAGCTACACGAGTCCGAAGGGACGGTTTATTTCCGAAGTGGATCACAGTAAGTCGCTTTGTCAGTCGGAAACCCTAGTCTTAACTGTAGAATGCGAGAGACTACCTCCAAATAATAAGAAAAATAAAGTATTCTATAGTAGGAATCCCAAGACCGTTGGGACAGTTAGTATGGGGATGTCAGCAGAGCTACTATGATTCTCCCATATGCTCGGCGCAGCTTTGCCAGTAAGATGGATACTTTCTTTTATGACACATTTTTTTTAAAAAACTAACCAGTTTTCGATCCCACTGTTTTTGCGACAATTCGAGACATGAAGCTTTTCCAATGAAATTCTCCTTGTTAAGATCTACAATGTGGCTCATTCCACATTCATATGGGTTTGTATTCAACGTTATCTGAAACTGGCTGCACATTACAATTCATTATTTAAATAATGACCCCCGAAATCAAGCGGTTGGCAGAAAGTAAACGCAGGTTGCTAAGATTCAGAATGCATTGCTAACTGTCAGTTTATGAATGCAACGTAAAAATGAAAGATGTCACAGGGAACTGGAGAAACCATAAGAAGGTGAAAAGAGTTCCAATTCATTTCTGCATATATTTGTACCGCAGAAGATTCTTGAGCCAATGCGCATGTTCAATTAAAAGCACACTGCCAAAAAGCTGAGGACAAGAGCAATGGAAGCAAATACAAGAATAGGGGAAATGCGCAGAGCTGTAAACAGAAGACCAATTTTTGAACTGGATTTTTGTAGATTTTAAGCATGCTAAAAACGTGTGGATAACATTTAATGGAAAAAAAAA